TTGAGAAACTTTAAGAAATTCGTCTCTGTCGAAAAATTTTTCGTGCCACCTCCTTGCATATCATATTCTCTTGTTCAAAAGTCGCAAATTTGGGCGAGAAATTTTTGAGGAATGGGAAAATGAAGGAAGAAATTAAAAAAAAATAGAATATATATGTACAATATATGTTTATTAAATATTAAATTTACATTATATATACAATTATTTTACATTACATTATATATATAATTTATATTTATATATCTATATCACATTTACATATATGTTGGTTGGTCCCGATTATACGTTGTCTTGACACTTCATTTTCAACTGGAAGATGCTGTATCTCATTGATGTAAGGGTTGCTGATGAATAAATCTTCTTGAGAATCATGTTGCTGATCGGTCCAATTTTCATGGTGTTTAAATTAATGTGAGCAATCTTCTGTTAACTTATGTTCTTCTAAAACAAAGAAAAATTGACTGTAAATTTCGATTGCTCAAAAGTTTCGATAATTTCAAGAATATTATGTTATTTCTAAGAATTATAGAAGTTCCAGGAATTTGATGTTATTTCCAAGAACTGTTAAAATTCTTGGAAAAATTTCTCGGGCGATCTCCTTTTAACTTATGTTCTCCTAATACAAAATCATTTTTGGCCAAAAATTACTAAATTTAAAATTTGTCAAAAAATTTTTCCATCTCCTTGCATATTATATTCTCCTAATACAAAATCGAAAATCTGACTAAGTTTTCTCAAATTGATTTTTTATAGGAGAATATAACTAAAAAGGAAATGGTATAAAATTTTTAGACTTTAATATACTTACCTTTATTTTCACCTTTATTACTTTATTATTTTACTTTATTTTGATATTATATTTTCAAGAACAAAACATTTTTTAATTATTTTAATTAATTCTAATTTCTAAATTTATTATACTTACCTGTTTTATATTTATCTTTTATATATTTATTTCTTTAAGCTATTTATCGGATCAATTTTTTAAATAATTTTTCTTGATTATAAATAACTGAACAATGTCCTGAGATGTATTTACTTATATTTGGTTTATTAGATTTGGTCTTTTTTTACACTTATCCCTTTAATTTATATATTCAGAAACCAAACATTTCTTTAATCGTTTTCTATTTTTGATTCTTCTAAGATTCTTGAGAAACAGAATGCAAATATTTGATTTCTAAATGTTAAAAGATAATTTTCCTTTATTATTCTTGGTTTCTTTCATTATTATTTTTATTTATTCTTTTTAATATATCAATATTTGTAATATATTATATGTTAATATTTTTATAAAAACAATATGTGCAAATGTTTGATAACGTTTTAATAATCCATCACTATATTATACGTTTTACACAGAAGATTTTTAATAAACTGTTAAAAAGAATTAAAATTTTAAATAATGAAAAATTTTCTTCCGTTCCATAATTTTTAATCCACTTCAATGCTTACTGTATATATACGAATTTTCGGCTTTATTATCAATGATAGGATCGGCCGAAAAATTTCAGCCAATCAGAATCTGGTCAAATCGAGAGAAATGGTTCGATGACGACAGGTGTTTCTAGCCTGACAACTATATGCCTCTGACAACGATCCAGTTTTAGCTGAAAAAAAAGGAAAAAAAAAAAAAAAAGAAATGAAAAATGGAGGTAAAAAAAGTATTGATGTTCTCGTGGATGTTTTGACGTGCCCTATGTCCTATGAAAATTTATTCATCTCAATAAATGGAAAGGATATTTTATAAATGATTTCGTTCGAATAGATTACCTCTAAAAGTTAAGAACGAATTATTTGGAAATTATTTGTTAGCCTTTAAACTCGTGTATTTTGTATTCATTAAATTCGTAATCTTGCAATATGTAATAATAATAGATATTGCACAGAGTTTTAACATATCTGTGAAGAGTCAATTCTAAAAATCAAAACGAATAAAAAAGTTAATACGAAAGAATATCAGTTGATTTATTAAACTATTATGTTTGCATTAGACGAAACGAGATAAAAATAGAACGATACAACTCTAATCTGCATCTCGTTACATCTAACCCAAACCTAAAATTGCTAATATAATCTAATAAATAAATATTTTATATACCAACCTTTATAGGATATAAAAATATTCTGTAAAATAATATTATCATTATCATTATATTTTTCTTATCATTTATATTTATTTCTTAAACTTAAAAAACTTTGAAACAATTATCCATCTTTCCACGTTAATCTGTATTATCCAACCATGGAATTTAAAGTCGTAATTTCAACTCCAATCTTTTAAGTAACTGCGGATGATCGAATAGAAAGTTTCCGCGTTCTTCTCTATGTTTCGTTTCCGTTTCGTATCGTGAAATTTTATTTCCAACGAGAAAGATTCAGTCTTAGATGGGCGGGGAAAAAATGCACTTTCAGAGGCTATTGGTCAGGGTTGCCGGAGATATTGCATCACTCGGGAACGAACGATAAAGTATACGGATTGGTCGTGTACCAGAAAAATGGTTTCTCCCATTAAATAAATCATAAACTATCGAATATACCGTGGAAACAAGCGGATACGACTTGGGAATAGTATTTTTCACCCTTCTGTCCAACTATAAAATTTTACACTTGTTCTGTACATAGATAAATATATTTTTATCAAAAGACGAAATTGAATTATTTACCTAGCTCTAGCTTTTTCGTTGTTGAACACGATTGTTAACACATAGAAATCGATATCATGGAGTTTGTATTATTATAGAATTTCTCCGAAATATTCTGTTTCAAACACAATTTCCACATTAATTATAATATTATTACCGATAATTATATTATAATTTCAATTTATACCGTGAAATATTATATATCAAATATAATGTATAAATATATGTATTATAATTTCAATTTATATTTCAAGAAAAAAAAGTTTAACTCGATCTAAAGAAGTTATAATGAATATTGAATTGAAAAAATATATTTCTATGTTTAAAGATATATACAATTTTATTATAAAATATTTTTGTAATCAATTCTGAATACAGATCTATAATTATTTTTTATTTCTATATAAAAAAATGTAATAAAATATCTTACTTACATAAAATTTCAAAGAAACAATTTTATTTTCTATTCGAATATAGCGCATTTTATTACATGGCTCCGAGAAAATAAAATGGCGGCAGAGATTGATACCGATTACTGTAACCGACTCGTAAATTTCCTTTTTTTATTTTTCATCGTTATTCAAATTTCTTAAAAAAAAAAATCTTTATATACTTAATAAAAGAAACATTAAACAAGAATAAAGGGGCTATAACCAACTTCATTCCAGCCAAGGAAGTAGGATTCCAAATTTTAAAATTTTATCGCGTGAAAGGAAATGTAAGTATTGAAATTAAAACCGGGTCGATAAAAACGGGTATCGTCAATACCATAAGAGCGAAGAAATTTCGCAAGCTGAGCTCTTTTTCAATCGCGATTTAAAAAAACCCAGTTTTACCAGAGTTTCTCCTTCCACAAAGTTCTCAGAGCCGATTTATCAGAGCTCTCTTTTTCCTCTAACGAGCTGTATTTACAGTTCTGCACTTTTGTTCCCGATTTATCGCGCGTTTCGTTATGCTGGAAGAAAATACGGGAACACAAACACGCGTGCGATTATCAGCGGAACGGAAGTCGACTTTTCGGCGGCCGTTTCCGCTATCTCAGCGTTTTCATTAAAGGCCCGCACACCACGTTATCGTTCACGTTTCATCGCGCGAAACTGAACGTGAACACCGATTGGATCCCAACCCCCGTTTCGACGAATCAGCCGCTCCGATTTTACCGGAGAGAGCCGTTACTTCGTTGCCTCGGATCGTTGGAATGCCGTTTTATCGCGGGAAGAGCATGGACTTTACTCGATTTTGGCCAAATTCCTTGCTTCGCGCGAAAGTGTGTAATTAAGGTTAAGATTCAAGATGGCGAATTGCGAAACTTTATTTTTTTCCTTTTGATAACAATACACATTTGTTATTACACTTTTGAATAAATATCGATATTAATTTTGCTAAAATTATTCGTACTGTAGTAATATATACATTATTTTTAAATTTTAAAATAATTTTTCCAATATCCAAATCGTTCCTTGTCTTTTTTTATCCAATCTGAAAAGATTAAATTCAAATTAAAGACAATGATACAGGTTTAATAATCAAAAAAGAAAAAAGATTTAAAAAAAATTCCCCCAAATTACGCGACAAATCACTCGTCCTATCTTTAATTTTCCCAATATCCAAATCTATCCCCAATAATCTCGGAAAGAGCAAATTCAGAACAACGGCAATAACCGTTCCAAGAACATCCCTCGGTAAAATAATCGTTTCGTCTCGAATTCTGCCCGATTATCACTGCCCGAAATCCGATCTTCGAATCGCCTCTCCCCTCCCCCCTCCCCACCCCTTTCGGTGGCCGCCATTCCTCCACACCCCTTTCTCGTTTCATTAACTCCCGTCGACACCGTTAACTTCTGTTTTATTGCACGAGACTTTGCCCGGTGGAAAAGAAAAGAAGAGTGCAATTCAAGTTGGCGGCTTTAAACTCCTCCCGTAGCATTTTATCCGCCACGTTCGCTCCTCGTGCCGACGATCCCCCGGAAGTGCTCGAATAAGCTCCCCTGGAATTATTATCGAGCCAGAGGGAAAAAGTCCAAGGAAAGAAGTGTGTATATATATATATATATATATATATACTAGAAAAAGGTAGAAAAGATGTAAGGAGGAGAGCATGGAGGAACGTCTTGCCTTCCTTCATTTTTTCCCCTCTCTCTCTTTCTCTCTCTCTCTCTCTCTCTGTCTTATTTTCCCTCTTTTTATCATTCTTTCATCCTCTTCTTCGTCTCGTTCTCCTTCATTTTCTTTCTTTCTTTTTTTCCTCGTTTCGTTTCGTTTCGTTTCGTTTCGTTTCTTTCAGAGTTTCTTGAAATCTACCGGCACGACGATATTCCTTCGTGAACTCGTGCGAATAATTGAGACGGATTCCACATCGGTCTCTTCAACAGGCTTCAACGACGCATTAGCTCGGTTAATGGGAAATTTTTCGAGGTTGGACGAGTCGGTATAGACGCGAAATCGAAATTTCTTAGCCGAGATATCCTTAGTTGCATGATATTACGAGTTTTTTTTCTTTTTTCTTTTTTTTTTTTTTTTTTTTT